CCTTCCACATTTATAGGTTTCATGCAGTGTTGTTTACATGATTAATTATATAAAAATAATACATAAAGCATTATTATAATTAATCTCAAATTTATATAAAATCAGCTAACATTTTGAAGTATCACAGTTTATACTTTAGTCCTCCCTTTGAAAAAACAGATGTTTACTGGTTTCTGGGATCATGGCACCTCTGGGTCCCCTTCCTGCCTCGCTTTTTGTGCTTGACTCTGCCATGTTTTGTCTCTGGACAGGCACTCTGGTTTGCTCTCTGCACCTACCTCCCATTCACCAGCAGCTCTCTCCATGGTTGATTTTCTTATATTTTCGTCATTATCCAATAATAAGAAAAACTGCTAATTCTTTCATGAAGAACCTTAACATTTCAATTTTGTTCTCATATTACCAAACCAAAGATTTCAAATGTTGATCTTTATTAAACCTAGATGAAGAAACCCAAAGTGAAGAGTAGGAGCATAACAGTAGAGTTATTGGAAAAACAAAGCAAAGCAAACAGCAACACAAACAACAGAAACAAACTATGCAGAAGCATTACTTTCCTTTCTTCTCCTCTGAGCTGTGTATTGCTGTAAGAGCTCTGGTTCCCGTGGCCTACTCAGAGCTGGTCAATGAGATCTCATGGCCTGTCAGATGAAATCTGTCCTTTTTGCCTGGCCTTCAGCTCCTGGAAGGCATGGCTGCAGTGTGGATATCCCGACAGTGGCTATCGCCAGCTTTGGTGTGGGCACATGCCACACGCGAGGGCAAGTGCGTCGTTCCCACTGAAGAAACAGCCTTCATGCCGCTGCTCTCCTTCTCTCTTTTCCTGGAGCCTCCTTCCGCATATTTTCAGTTGAAATCTCAGCCACCCTTCAAAGTCAGTAGAGAAGTTGCTTTATCACTAAATTGATCTCAGATCTTTTCTGCTTGAAAAATATTTTCCTCGTCTCTAATTCTATTAATTTTGACTGTTGTCTACGTATGACTCTGATTACAGTCTATATTCACTGTAACTATTTGGACCATCTCTTTTCTTGTCTTTATTTATGTTTTTAAAAATGTGATGCTATTAATTTACTTTTAAAAACATTTCAGCATTCTAAACATCAAAAAAAGAAAAAAAAAAAACCAGAAAAGACAAATTGTGTTTTGAAGTGCAGGTTTCTAAATGTTATAGTACAGTTGGGCTCTCCACTTTCATGAAAAGGTTTAGTGTGGTATTCTTGACAAGAATTCATAACATGAATGTAATCATGAAGATACATCAGAAAAGCCCAAATTGAGGGAGATTCTACAAAATATTTCTCTGTACTCTTCAAAAATATTAAGGTCAAGAAACTGAAAGAAAGGATGAGTTATTGTTCCAAATTAAAGGAGGCTAAAGCCATCAGCCCAGAGCTATCACAGAGCCCTCTCTTTCTCCTGCAGTCACTGAATCTCTCTGCCTTAGAAGTGACTCTACTTTCCCATTTTCCATCCATTGGCCTAAATCTTCCTCTTCCCTTTCACAATCTCCTGTGGTCTGTCGTTTTCTTCTCTCCTCTCTGCTCTTCCAAAACACACACTAGATGATAGAACTCTACATGGCCTACAGAATAAAGTCAAAGTCCCGTAGAACTGCAGACAAGGCCTCTCGTAGTCAAATATTAAGTAAACTATTTTTAAATTAGCAGCAGGATTTAAAACACCTACATTAATTGTTCACTAATTTGGGCAATAATTAATCAATTATAACAGTGAATGTGGAATGGTAACTTATATTTAGGACAAAGGCCAGTAGAACTGTTTTTGTACTTCTAGAATTTATTAAGGTTTGAAAAATTATTAGCTGCCAACTTGCAGATTCAGGAATTGAATATCTGCTTTTTTTCTTTCTCTAAGAAACTAATAGTTCATTATAATTTCAGAATTCCAATTAAAATGATGGATTATTTGAAAAGTATATTACTCAAAAAGTCTGAATTATAAATGTGAGTTCAGGTATCTGGTACTTTACACGCGGGTTTTATTTTGTCCCAAAGAGCTTCTCCGGCTTGCGTGATTTAATAAAGTAGCTCGAATTATTTCTGAGGCTGTAAAGACTAAGGTTCCAAGGTTTCTTTCTCAATGTATGATACATATTCAGCTTTTCTTTGAAGAAGTTTATTTTATCTTTTAAAATGCTATTCTTAATTATTTTATCTTCTAAAT